TAGTTGCCCTCCCCTCTCCCACCTTCTCTCTTCCCCTCTCCCACCTCCTTTTCCCAGTCTCCCCGAGTTTTGTTCAATAAAGAGAGTTTCTATTTTTGAACACACGTGTCCTTTATTTTGTACATCAGGAAGGGGGGCTAGGGAGGGGTAAGTGGAAGGAGGTGAGGGAGGAATGGGGTACGAGCCCCCGATGGAGGACTGGGCTGGCTCTGCGAGCTCCTTGGGGTGGAAGCTCTCCTGAAGCCCCTTGACTGACCCCACCCCCTCCCAGATGGCAGCCTGCGGCAAGTGCAGCCAGGCTGATGGCCGAGTGCTGTGATGTGCTGAGTGTGGGCACTCAGGGCACTCCAAGCCAGGACTGCTTTGCAAGCAGGGAACCCCTGAGAACTGTCTGTCCGGGGTGGGGGTCGGGTCCCTTTAAGCACGATGTCTTCACTAGACCAGGCGGGCGCCCGCCTCTTGCGGACCTGGGCAGGCTCCCAGATGGCCGGGAAGAGGCGGAGGGCTGGGTGGCTCGAGCCAGCCACCCGTTGCCACCCAGCCATCCTTAACCTCAGTTCAGGGTCCACTCAGTGTGGACACGCTAGTTCGAATTAGCAAAACGCTAATTCGAACTAGTTTTTAAGTCTAGATGCGCTAATTCGAATTAGCTTAGTTCGAATTAACTAATTCGAACTAAGTTAGTTCGAATTAGTGCTGTAGTGCAGACATACCCTCTGTGAGCAGCATGTCAGTGCGCTTTAGAAATTGCATCCATTCATGTTACTCTGCTTAGGAAATTGTGATATATTAAAATATATCCTTGTAATGGAAAAGCTTTAGTACCAATTACATACCCCTTCTCTGATACTTCTGTTGTGTATTTAGACACCTGGCAACCTTTTTTACTATATTCAGGCAGCCAGCATCTTTTAGCCAGGTTCTCTGAACGTTAACCTGATCCTGAATAAGTAGTGTATGACATAGTATATTTTATTATTACATTTTCCTTAAGAAGAAATTCAACAAAAAAAGAGAGAAAAAGATATCACATCCATTTAATATGAAATGCTGTATAAGGTAGTTAACCCTTAATTCTAGGCATAAGAACAAATAGTGGAGGCACACTAGGAAGTATAGTGCAGGAAATGGTGCCTCCTATTAAAATCCTCAGTTTGATCATAAGAGATACAACTGTTGTCTAGAAATTAAAGATAAAAGTGACTTGGGATCTTTAGATGTATTGCTCTGACTTTCACTGACTGCCTCCAGACTATGTAGATCTTTGCACTCTCCCCTCCCCTACTTGCTTAGGGTATGTCTACACTACCCCCCCAGTTCGAACTAGGGGGGTAGTGTAGACATACCCTTAGCTATTTAGGGAATTAGGGATGTGAAGGACTAGTCGACTATCCAATAAGCAAATGCTTATCAGATAGTCGACAGGCTAGTCAACTAGTCACTTCCCCTTCCCTTGCTGCCTCTATCAGAAAAAGGCAGCAAGATGGGGGGAGAGAAGAGGGTACTTCAAAGTGGCAGCACCATTGAAGTCCGGGGCCAAACCCCAGGCTCCGTGTGGCACTGCCACTTTGAAACGGGCTGTTGCTACACTTCAAAGCTGGAGGCACCCTATCGACTAATCGAATAGTCAATATATTCGATTAGTCAATTAGTCGATATTTAACATCCTTAGGTTCCATCCACTGCTGCAGTAGCCATGGTGAAAGCTGGGAGCCCTGAGTCCTTTTAGATCACAGGACCCTGGGCAGCTGCCCCTTTTGCCCCCCTGTTGGTTGCCCTGTGCAGGAAGGTCTGTCTTGCCTAAGGCCCTACCATCCTGTGCCAGGTGGCACCTTATTGACTAATCAAATAATCAATGCAAAATGCATCGACTATTTGATTAGTCAGTTACTCGCAATTTAACATCCTTATATAGCAGTAGTCACCAACCAGTAGATCGGGATCTACTGGTAGATCTTGCAGTCTCTGACAGATGATCCCAGCTGGTTTGGACAAAAGGCTATCAAGTGACAGCATTCAGCTATCCCTCCCCACACTGGAGCTTATCTCCTGGCCTTTGCCTTGAAGCTGCCCCCCGCCCTCCAGGACTCTCCTGCTTGCTGTGAAGAGCAGGGAAAAGAGAGGAGGGGATGCTGATGTCTGGGTGCCCCCTCTCTCACTGTGTATCCTATCTACAGAACAAGGGAGTGGCATAACAGGGCTTAGGATGGGAGGGAGTTTGCTGGCTGTTTTTGAGAGTGGTGCAAGGTCATGGCAGGGGTGAGCCTGCCTTAGTCCCACTGCACCACCACCCAGGAGTTACCCGAGGTAAGCAGAGTTCCGCTGGAGCCATCTCCGAACTCCTGCCCTGGTCATGAACGCCTCCTGCAGCCGAAGCCTCTGCCACAGCACTGAGCCCCCTGGATCCAAACTCCCTTACAGAGCTTGTACCCTGAGCCCCCTCCTGCACTCCAATTCCCTGTCCCAGGCTCAACTCAGAGCCCCTCTCGCACTCCAAATCGCTTAGCCCACGACCAGAGCCTGCTTCACAACCCTCTATCCCTGCCTGGTGTAAGGGAGGGAGGACAGAGTGAGCAGGGGCAGGGCCTTGGAGAAGAGTCATGAAGGAGGCAGGACAAGGGTATTTGGGTCTGAGAGATCCTGAATTGCACTTAAATTGAAAAAGTGATCTTGTTCTTAAAAAGGTTGGAGACCATATGGAATGACCATAATCTTGCTCTAAGATCTCTCAAGATACTTTACTCTTGAAGTAAATATATGCTGTGTATTCTGAAAGAACTACCTTGTTAGTATGTTACATATTACTCAAAAAAGAGTAATATTCTTTATAAGTCAGCCCAAAATTGTTTTGTTACAATGCTTTTTTATAAATATCTACTATGTACCAAAAACTATAAGGTGACTTATAGTTTGGACAGGATAAAATTACGACACTTTATTACATAAACTTTATGGTTCTTTAAAGATATAGTTTACAACTACTCTCATGCTGCCAGAGTGAGAACAAGACTGAAATTGTAATTATGTTAGGGTTGCCTTTTATTTTTAGAATAGAGATGCTAGGTTTTACCTGTGATTTTCCAACATGAAAACTCTGAGAGAGAGATACATGTTTATAGGGTTGAGCATCAGTTGGTACAAATTTGTTTGGAAGTTCTTCATCTTTCATAATGGTTCTGAGAAACTGAAAAAGCTGCCTGAAAGAAATATGAAACAGACGGGTAAGATTACACATGAAATTAAAATGTATGCATGTTTATGGAAAGTTATTAATTCAGAGCATGCTAATAAATGTAACAGTTGTCAGTAAATATTTTTCTATTTCATTTTCATACCAACGTACAGAGGTCCCCTGAGTCTTTAAAGTAAGACGTGAATGCATGTGAATGAGAATAATGCCCATGATATTTTGTTAGGACACTTTGTATTTTACTACTGAGGTAAGTCCTCAAACTAAAACTACTGTATATAGAATCTCAAATACACATTCTGAAATGTGTGGGAATAGTGACCATAATATAATAACATTCAACATTCCTGTGGTGGGAAGAACACCTCAGCAGTCCAGCACCCTGGCATTTAATTTCAAAAAGGGGAATTACACAAAAATGAGGAGGTTAGTTAAACAGAAATCTGAAATGTGTGGGAATAGTGACCATAATATAATAACATTCAACATTCCTGTGGTGGGAAGAACACCTCAGCAGTCCAGCACCCTGGCATTTAATTTCAAAAAGGGGAATTACACAAAAATGAGGTGGTTTGTTAAACAGAAATTAAAAGGCACAGTGACTAGTGCCAAATCCCTGAAAGCTGCATGGAAACTTTTTAAAGACACCATAATAGAGGCCCAACTTAAATGTATACCCCAAATTAAAAAACATAGCAAGAGACCTAAAAAAGAGTCACCATGGCTTAACCACCATGTAAAAGAAGCAGTGAGGGACAAAAAGGTATCTTTTAAGAAGTGGAAGTCCAATCCTAGTGAGATAAATAGAAAGGAACATAAACACTGTCAAATCAAGTGTAAACATGTAATAAGAAAAGCAAAAAAAGATTTTGAGGAACAGCTAGCCAAAAACTCAAAAAGAAATAACAAAATGTTTTTTAAGTACATTAGAAGCAGGAAGCCTGCTAAAAAGCCTGTGGGTCCCCTAGATGATCGAGCTATAAAAGGAGCAATCAAGGACGATAAAGCCATTGCGGAGAAACTAAATGATTTCTTTGCTTCGGTCTTCACGGCTAAGGATGTTGGGGAGATTCCTGAATCTGCACCGTCCTTTGTGGGTGATGAATCTGAGGATCTGTCCCGGATTGAAGTGTCATTAGAGGAGGTTTTGGAACAAATAGAAAAACTTAATGTTAACAAATCTCCGGGACCGGATGGCATTCATCCAAGGGTTCTAAAAGAACTTAAATGGGAAATTGCTGAGCTATTATCTGTGGTTTGTAACCTATCCTTTAAATCGGCTTCCATACCTAATGACTGGAAGGTAGCTAATGTGACACCAATATTTAAAAAGGGCTGTAAAGGGAAATCCTGTCTTACTAATCTATTAGAGTTCTTTGAAGGGGTTAACAAACATGCGGACAAGGGGGATCCAGTAGATATAGTATACTTGGATTTTCAGAAAGCCTTTGACAAGGTCCCTCACCAAAGGCTCTTGTGTAAATTACATGGCCATGGGATAAGAGGGAAGGTCCTTTCTTGGATTGAGAACTGGTTAAAAGACAGGAAACAAAGGGTAGGAATAAATGGTAAATTTTCAGATTGGAGAGGGGTAACTAGTGGTGTACCCCAAGGGTCAGTCCTGGGACCAATCCTTTTCAACTTATTCATAAATGATCTGGAGAAAGGGGTAAGCAGTGAGGTAGTAAAGTTTGCAGATGATACCAAACTGTTTAGGATAGTCAAGACAGAAGCAGACTGTGAGGGACTCCAAGAAGATCTCACCAAACTGAGTGATTGGGCAACAAAATGGCAAATGAAATTTAATGTGGATAAGTGTAAAGTAATGCACATCGGGAAAAATAACCCCAACTATACGTGCAGTATGATGGGGGCTAATTTGGCTACGACAAATCAGGAAAGAGATCTTGGAGTTATCGTGGACAGTTCTCTGACAACTTCCACGCAGTGTGCAGCGGTGGTCAAAAAGGCAAATAGGATGCTAGGAATTATTAGGAAAGGGATAGAAAATAAGACCCAGAATATCTTACTGCCCCTGTATAAAACTATGGTATGCCCACATCTTGAATACTGTGTACAGATGTGGTCTCCTCACCTCAAAAAAGATATTTTGGCCTTGGAAAGGGTTCAGAAAAGGGCAACTAAAATGATTAGGGGTTTGGAATGGGTCCCATATGAGGAGAGGTTAAAGCGACTGGGACTTTTCAGTTTAGAAAAGAGGAGACTGAGGGGGGATATGATAGAGGTCTATGAAATCATGAGTGGTGTGGAGAGGGCTGATAAAGAAAAGTTATTTATTAGTTCCCATAATAGAAGAACTAGAGGACACCAAATGAAATTAATGGGTAGCAGGTTTAAAACTAATAAAAGGAAGTTCTTCTTCACACAGCGTGTTGTCAACCTGTGGAACTCCTTGCCAGAGGAGGCGGTGAAGGCTAGGACTATAATAGAGTTTAAAGAGAAGCTAGATAATTTCATGGAGGTTAGGTCCATAAAAGGCTATTAGCCAGGGGATAAAATGGTGTACTTGGCCTCTGTTTGTCAGAGGCTGGAGAGGGATGGCAGGAGACAAATCGCTTGATCATTGTCTTTGGTCAACCCTCTTTGGGGGACCTGGTGCTGGCCACTGTTGGCAGACAGGATACTGGGCTAGATGGACCTTTGGTCTGACCCAGTACAGCCGTTCTTATGTTCTTAAATATCTAACATTTTAATTAATTGGGTTTATTTTTGAGTTTACAGGATTTTCTCAGAACAGCTAACTATATTAATGCTTTACATGAACTTTTTGTTTAGTAAAGACTTTTCCATCTCTACTTACATTCCCAGTAAATTATTAATATAAAAGCTGTGCATTTTACCTTGTTCTATGTCTCCTTTTTCTCTGTAAAAGGTAACAAAAGTTATGAATGTCATCCTCTGCAATTCTGATGGCTATTTTCCCCACATACTATCTTGCTCTGCCCTTCCCACTTCTGGCTTCCCTATTAATCCCTAATGAATAAGTAAGGTCACACAAACGTTTGATGACTTTTCTTCCCACTTCCCTATCTTATTTAATTTCACCTTATTTTTCCTGCCCTATTACTCCTATACTGTATCTCCAATCATAACCTTGCCCCCCATTTCAGTTGCTGCTTTCCCTTTATCAGCCTGTCATGTATCTCTCTGCATCTAGCTGTCCTTGTTTAGCCAGTTCTTCAAAAGCACAGAGGAAAATAAATTGAACTCCTAATATCTGTCTACACTGCAACACTATTTCAGGATACTGGAGCATCCTGAAATTGCTATCCCACATCTTCACAGCAAGCCCATTATTTCAGGCTCGCTATTCTGATGTCCCTGTAAACATCATTCGACGAGGAGTAAGGGACATTTCGGAATAGCGAATATCTGTCTACACTGCAACACTATTTCAGGATACTGGAGCATCCTGAAATTGCTATCCCACATCTTCACAGCAAGCCCATTATTTCAGGCTCGCTATTCTGATGTCCCTGTAAACATCATTCGACGAGGAGTAAGGGACATTTCGGAATAGCACTTTATTTTGCAATTTGGCACTGTGTAGACAGTGCCAAATGATGAAATAAGCTATTTTGAAATAGCATTGTGTGACGGGGCGGCCCCGCACCGCACTCAAGCCCAGGGAAACCACCTGGGGCCGGGGGCGGAGAAGGCCCCACCCACACAGCCCTACTGGGCATGCTCCAAAGGGAGCAGAGGTACAAAAGGCTGCTGGCCTGCTCAGAAGGGGCAGACTGCGACCCGAGCAGGAGCTAGC